GCTTGCCCAGACCAGGCTCCGTACCGACGCCTACGCGGTCGGCCCTTCGACCCAAGCAAGCTCTCCTCGTGCCTCTCTTCTCCCCCTTCTCTACGGTCCTTGCCTCTCCGTGAGCCCTCCACCGTCCACCCCAGTGTGCCCTTCGACCTCCCGTCGCTTTCGTTATCGACTCCCCCGTCGCAGCTTCGTCCGTCGCTTGGCCTGGAGGGTTGCTGGTCGCCGGTGCGGTTGCGTGCACCCGCAAAGGGGGAACGAACACCTGTCGACTCGCCCGCCTCTTTTATCGACCCTCCCTCTCGCTCTCTCCTCGCTTTGCGTCTCCTATCCCCACACTCTTGCGTGATCTTCGAGGATGTTGCTCCCCAAGGGCGGTGTGACGTGGAAGTCCGCTCGCGCAAGGTTACCACCATGGCGAGCGGTCGTCGTCTTGCTGACCCGGCCGCGCTTCCTGGTGTCGGTCGCAGTCGCCGGCCTGATTATCCTCCTATGGCGTGGCATCAGCAAGTCCGCCGCTGAGATGCAGAAGTATGTTCAATGAAAAGAAAATAAAATATTTTTTTTCCCTCGAAATCACTGACAGTTTGATTGTCTAGTTTCTACTGCTATGGCTCTTCCAAGTCCCCGATGGAAATGTCTATCAACGAGATGGTGGAATGGAACGCCCATCTGCAGACGCCCGTTATCTTCAACAACCATGAGCCCTACGAAGTGAATTCCAGCACAATCACGTCGGTCGACCTGAATCCCATCAAGTCGACCCCCCAGGCCGTGGCTAACGGCGAACGGATCCTGATCCTGACCCCTCTGCGAGATGCCGCTCCTTTCCTCCCGAAATATTTCGACCTTCTCTCCGAACTGACGTATCCGCATGACCTCATCGACTTGGCCTTCCTGGTCGGCGACTGCTCCGATGACACCCTGGCTGTCCTGACTTCCGAGCTCAAGCGTGTCCAGGAGCAAGTCGAAGAGAAGATCGCCTTCCGCAGCGCCATGATTGTCCAGAAGGACTTTGGTCCTGTGGTCGACATGGACATCGAAGACAAGCACTCTTTCAAGGCCCAAGGGCCCCGACGCAAGGCGATTGGCCGCGCTCGCAACTACCTTCTCTACACTGCCTTGAAGCCCGAACACTCCTGGGTCTACTGGAGAGATGTCGATATCGTCGACAGCCCAAACAAGATCATCGAGGACTTCATCGCTCACGACAAGGATATTCTCGTTCCCAGTATGTATCCTATCTCAAACAGGGTTGCCCGGTAGGGTGGATTGCTGATCGCTTTGGCAGACATCTGGTTCCATCGCTACGAGAACGGTCGCGACATTGAAGGTCGATGTAGGTGTTTCCTTTTGCTCGTTTTGATTTTGATTCTCGAATCCATTGCTGACCTCGCTTCTCTGCCAGTCGACTACAACTCGTGGATTGAATCCGACAAAGGACGCAAACTGCGCGAGTCTCTCCCGGAAGACACGATCTTGGCTGAGGGCTACAAGGAGTTTGACACCGGCCGTACTTACCTGGTTAAGCTGGGTGATTGGAGGAAGAACAAGGATGAAGAGGTTGAGCTGGACGGAATTGGTGGTGTTAACATTCTTGTCAAGGCGGACGTTCACCGTTCTGGTATGCATGCTTTGGTAACCTGAATCTTTACGTACTCTGCTCACCAGGTTTTAGGCATCAACTTCCCGGCATATGCTTTCGAAAACCAGGCTGAGACGGAAGGATTCGCAAGGATGGCCAAGCGAGCGGGCTACCAGGTCATTGGTCTGCCCAACTACGTCGTCTGGCACATCGACACGCAAGAGAAACCCGGCAATCTCGGGGGTCGCAAGGCCTACTGATGGGCTCTATTCCTTGCCGGTTTGGAACCCAAAATCTCTTCACCAATCATGATGCCCGCTGATTGCAGTTCTCGGGTCTTGTGATGCTGGTGAATCCCGTCGACTTCGACAACGAGTGCAGCATGAGCTGTGCTTTATCTGTCTCGTTGGTCTTGCGACACCTTCCACCAAATGATTCTCAAGACTGCGGCTTAATGACTCCATAATAAAGACTTTCTTCTCTTTCGTGTTGCGTTCTAGGGGCTTCACTGTCTTCTTTCCTCGGCGCTCTGGAAGGAATGGCATTCCTGTGGTACGGTTGTGATGGTATAGATTCGAGTTTTTTTTATCCCCCTTTTTTATTTCCCCCACCTCCATTTCTGTCTGTCCCTAACATACCATCTTTGTTTGTCTTTTCTTGATCTCCTGTTATTTTTGTTTTGACAGCGGTGGATCAGTCGGTCTGTCCTGGAAAAGGTCGGAGACATGATCTTCGCTGATATTTGTTTTGTCTGTTGACGTTGCTCTGGTCTGAACCTTTGTCAACCGGTGTGTCAGTTGGGAAGGGTTATTTTATTTTCTTTCTTGATTTCTTTCCTGGCGTCTTGCTGTGCTACTTCTCTGCTGTGCTTCATCCTTGGAAGTCCTCATTCTGTTCGTGGAAGAGAGCTCCTTTCCTCGAGGGTTTCGGGAGGGTGGGAGGAGTGAGGATGGCAGGTCGAGTGGTTCCGTTTTCCTTTTGCGTGGACATCTAAGTTGGAATATGATAGGGCACAGATGCAGACCACATGTGGGCGAGCACTCGACATCTTATCGATCGAACTACAGTATCGAGGATGCATGGGAAGGTAATGGATGATAGGGGCAGGGAAGGCATTGTGTAAAGATAGTCTCACCATCTGTGCTGTGTATATAATATTTCTGCCATGCGGTCATGCAATCAATCACAATCAAATCAACATCACCCAGTCGATATCAACACGGCTGAACTTTTCGTTAGATCCAATTGATATAGGATCATGGAGGCCCGGGCCGACAGCAACGACATGAGGAATGACAAAGGTGTACGTAGTCACATGTAGACTGTGGTCTAGATGGGAAGCTGAGTAGGTCGATTGATTCTCTATTATTCCTCCGTGCTGACTTTTAAGGCAGTCAACGACTCCGACGGCATCTCTTTGTTTTGTTCAAGCTTCGGTTAATAGTATAATAGTATAATTATAGAATCGCTGTCATGATCTACGGACCGACCTACTATATACTAAGGTACGTACTATACTGATCGGCATGGGCCGCTGCAGGGTCTTGATTCTCTTGAATTCGCTATTATTGGCTAACTGCACACTTACACCGTCCTCCACCCAATAACGGTCGAGTTCAATCGGCGAATTTTTCTACAAGACCCTGCGTGGGCCAGGACGTACAGTACAATGTCTGTGCGATCATCATCGACATATAACTCGGTACTCGGTACAAAAAAAAACTGTTGCTTAGCCGATCCTGCCACGCGGCCCTGGGCAGATTCTTTCCATTATCGGTCAGGACGGTTGCACCCGAGCCCCCATGCAGATCGACGATGCCAACGAATGACAGTCGCAACCCTGAACCACGTCAGACTGCATGATCGATGTATTACTGGCTGTCAATTCAAGAATGCTGTTTCTCTCTTCAGAGTGAAACGTGGGTCTGGGTGTGAAATCTTTGACAGGGATTTTGTGAACCCTTTCCTCGTCTGGCAGGTCGATATGTTATGTTTCGACAGTCGATGTTGGATATAAAAACAATACAGACCGTACGCGCCATGAATGTCATTTCTGCTTTTTTTTATTAACTCGACTGTCCTCTGCCTCTGCGGAACCCTCCCTGGGAGGGGATTCTATTCGAGTAGGATTCTTCTTGATTAAAGGGGAAAACAAACATGGCGAGCACGAACAACGACCTGTCGACACCGCTCACTGCTGCCGGTGTCGACTTCTCCAACGAGACGCAGGCATCGATCTTCCTGCAGAACTTGATGGAAGACCGCGACCTGCAGATCAGTGCCAACGCCGTGGCCAGGAAGTTCTAGTATGGAGTCGTCGTCGTTGTGGGGGTCGCGGCCATCTGCCATGTCCTCTCGGCGGTGACATTGTGGACGAGGTATGGTTTGCACTTACCACAAGATCTTCCTGTCAACTAGCTGACGCGAGAAGACTCCGAGCCAGCCGTGCAAACCGTACACACCCGGCACAGCCAAAGAACCCTGTGACGAGAGCCCTGGCTGCGTTGACGGGCGTTCTGCGGGTCATATCCTACCTGCAAATCACCCCCGACACGAGGTCGTCCTGGATCAAGATTCCCCCCTTGGGCACGATCCTCGTGATCGTAGCGTACGGGGTTTTTGTTCTGTGTACGCAGTTCAATGACAACGACGTCCCTGGTGCCTGGTGGTATACCGCCGTCGGTGTGCGTGCTGGATGGCTTGCGGTGGCCCAGGTGCCCCTGATCGTGCTGCTGGCCGGCAAACACAACGTCGTGGGCCTCCTGTCCGGCATGTCGTATGAGAGGCTGAATGTGTATCACCGCTGGGTCGCCCGGGGTCTGCTGCTGCTCGCCACGTTCCATTTCGGCTTCTTCAACTACAGCTGGAACAAGTACGGCGTGATGCACCTCTAATGGAACAGGCACCCGGCTCCTCGGCCAGGCATGGCTGCCTATGCGCTGCTGCTCTGGATGAATCTCAGTACGCTAGCGCCCCTGCGCCACTGGTGCTACGAATTCTTTGTCGCCCAGCATGTCCTTACCTTCTTTGGTTTCATAATCGCCATCATGATGCACGTGCCGGCTAGTGCGTAATACGCTCGGGTCTACATCTACATCCCCGTCTCGCTGTATATTGTCGAGCGACTGGTCTCGACGCTCCACTATCTGGTCAACAATGTCCGTCCCAGCCGTGCGAGACTAGAGGCGCTGGATGGAGGCGCCACGAAGATTCGCGTTTCGAGTCGTCAGATCAAGACCTGGGGTCCTGGCACCCACGCGCAGCTGTCGATCCCCCGTTTCGGTACCCATCACCCAGCCACGATCATGTCCACGCCGCAGTCCCACAATGGCGACCTTGTCTTTATCCTCCGCGCGTATGAGGGGTTCACCAAGCGAGTCTTCAGAGCGGCCAGTAATAGTCACAGTTCTTCTGGCACGGACGAGCAGGACAAGTCGACGTATTATCTCGCCCTGATCAGCGGTCCCTACGGCCCTTCCTCCTCGCACAAGGACTTTGCCTGCTTTGACACCGTCTTCCTGATCTCTGGCGCCACGGGCGTGACCTTTACGCTGTCGGTGCTGCTGGACTTGGCGCAGCGGGCTGCAGCTGGACATCGACTGCCGCTGCGCACGGTGCAGTTTGTCTGGATCATCCAGAAGCGGTCGTGGCTGTCGTGGATCTAGCTGCAGTCGGCCGGGGCGGATCTGGCACAGGCTGGGATTGAGTTCTCTGCCCGGATCTACGTGACGCGTGAGGACGTAGTCAATAGAAGCCAAGCAGGCTGCGAAGGGGTCGAGACGAAGTCTGCGGTGGTGAAAAACGCCGTCCAGTTCGACTTCCAGCCAGGACGACCCGTCTTTGACGCTGCCTTCTGGGACGCCCTGTCTCAGGCGGAAGGGGAGAGCGCGGTCGGGGTGTGTGGACCACTCAGCCTGTCGACGGCGGTGCGGCGGTCAGTGGTGAAGATGAGCATGAGGGATGGCAGGAGGCAGGCTTTATATTTGCGTGTCGAGAACTTTTCTTGATGGATGCGGATATCTGGTGGCAATACTGTTGTAGATAGATACCATGATGATCACGTTCACGCTTAGTATAGACAAATAGATAGATATATATAAGGGCAGGGGTATAAATATGCCTGCTATTTACCAATGTAGTTAGTTTACATCTCGTGCTGTAGTATAAGTATTATTATTACCTTGCTCCTAACCAAGTAAACCATAGCAATTAATTTAATAATTCATTCGCTGTCCTCGCTTCACATCTCATTTACTTAGCAAAAAAAAACCTGCCTAGGAGGCACTATTATAGATATACCAAATATATCCGATACATATTACTTTAGGTAGGTACCCACGGATAGGGCTTTCTTCCCCCCTGAGGTCATCTCTCTCTTTTTTTTCCCTTATTTTTTTCTGGACAAGATTAATCAATCGATCAGAATAAATAGGCTGCTGGGTACGCGGGAATGAATCTGATGTGATTGATGTGGATGGATGGATCTTGTTGAGTCGAGTTCCTTTTTTTCTATTTAGTTATTTTATTATTTTATTTTCTTGAATTCTTCGACCTTTCCTTCGTCGATACATAAATACATACAACATCTTCAATAATCACTGATAGTTAATCGGGGACAATAATATAATGAATTACCCCGCACTATTACTATTACTATTACTGTCCCGTCCCCGACTGTCCGGCCCTTTCCCGAATTCCCCTAGAAACGTAACTTAGCCGATTTCGTAATTGTAATAAATACTCCGTAGGGCGTAAATCGGCTTTCCCCCGATTCCCCCCGCTTGCGTGCGGTTATCTACCTTAACTTACTGCTGTAGTATTGTATATAAAGTCCGACGATTTCCGTCGGAAGTACCTAGTCATCCAATTGATCGATAATAATTTGCTACTACTGTACAGTAGATACATACAGTTCTAACTAGATATAATATATTATTTGTCACCCTGGCTACCCTCCGCGGAGTTCGTTCTCTTCTTTCCCTCTCTTCTTCTCGAATCCCTCGTTCCAGTCCCAGCACAGGACGAGCTTTTCGTCAGCTTCAACTTCGATCCACGCAACAGCAGCAGCAACTACGAGCCATGTCCTCTGCAGGAAGTGCAAAGAAGGAATTCCTCGTCATTATCCCTGATAAGCCTGGTATGCAGGCTAAGAGGTTGGAGGTTAGACCGTAAGTATCCTACATATCCGAACCATAGATATACCAGCTCTCTTGCTAGGTAGCTACCTAGTTACATATGCTATGTTATGGGCTCTACTGATTACGTATATATACAGCACACACCTCGCAAACATCAAACCCCTCGTTGAGTCCGGGTTCTTGACTTCGGGAGGTATGTCACGACTCACACCCCTCCCTCTCTATGCCCACCCAAGCCATGAAAACAAAAGAAGGTAGTCAACCTGACGGTTTCTTTTCAGGCGCAATGTTCAACTCCCACCCCGCCGAAGGCGAAACGCCCTCGTTCAGAGGCAGCATGGTCACCGCCGTCGCCGAGAGCGCGGAAGAAGTCCGCGAGGTGCTCAGTAAGGATATCTATGCGCAGTCTGGGGTGTGGGATATGGAGAAGATGGAGATTATTCCGGTGAGTTTTGAACATAACCTAGAAGAAGGTGGGGTGGGTGGCTAAATTTTTTCTAGTTTAAATTCGCTGTGAGGTCGCCGCTGTAAAGTAAAGTAAAGAAGGATGATAGAAGGAAGGAAGGATGGATGGTAAACTCTTGTGATGCGCTGGTTGAGCTATTGTCTGACGTGTATACATACGTATACATATGTGAATAGTGAATAAGCGGATTATGGTGTCAGATTACTGACCTGTATTATCTATCCATTTATGAAATCTGATATCAAGGCTAGTACAACAGACAGCCAATCTTATCCAATTTAAACCGTCCATGCAGTGCAAGTTAACCTTAGGCACAAATGTAGTAATAATACAACTGGATAAATATATGCTATAGTGACGACTATACATGCGCCCATCCATTCGCCACCAGAACCTGCATCTCATTAATCAAGCAGAACATGCCGTTCTCTACCCGCTGCTCGCTCGGGTCTTGCTTCTCCCACCTCCGCAGCCGTCGTCGCACGATCCACGTCTTCAGCGCGTCCGTCGTGAACCACCGTCGCAGTCGGTTCTCCCACAGTCCCCACAGCACCTGCGACGTAGACAGCCATGTGCCTTTCTGGCCATGCTGCTGCGGGTGAACCGCCTCGTACGCCTTGCCGTCGTACCCGACCCGCACGTTCGGGTTCAGCCAGACACCCTTCTTCGCCGACAGAGGGTTGTCGGCGTGGATGAGGCAGCATTCAGAGCCCTCGAGGTGCGCTGCCGCCAGGCTGTCTGCGATCCCGCGAAAACGGAGCGGAGCGACGGTATCGTAGAAGGAGGCCGCGTCCATAATGACTGATACATCAGCAAATGTCCATTTTTTTCACTTCAGTATGAACCTACCCATCCCATTCCAACAACTCGCCACAGGAGCCGGCTCTCCCCGCTCGATAAAGTAGCGCGAGTCGCGCGACCGGAAGTACGGCCACGTCTGCATCAGCGGCTCGTGGCCTTCCAGATCGCGCAGCGCAAACGTGTCGTAGAACCGCGGCGGCTTGGAAAAATCCAGCGAGCAGGCGGCAGCATACTCGCCGTGGTTGGTATCCAGCAGGGTGAAAAAGTCGTCCGTCTGACGAACATGTTAGCAGCCACACATAGTGAATAATACTTCTTCGGCGACTAGACACACATTAAAAACGACATCATTCAAGAACAAGATACGGTCAAACTGCTCCCCCTCGCGATCGAGATCCACCAGCGGCTGCAGACTGGCATTGCGCTGCCTGGACAAAAACGGGATCCGCCGCAACTCTCGCCGCCCCCGAGGCGTGTCAATCCACCCTGTCGGCGCCGGCGGCTGTGAGATCTCGTCCTCGTGCGATACGTCGCTGAGGACGATCGTCCGACGGACGTTCAACTCGCTCAGGGCGGCATCCAGTTCTCTGAGCGCGCCCTTGGTGTCGTCCCAGCTGCCGCTCTCGTAGACGGACACGTAGACGTTCTCTGGGCCTAGTGCCCTTGCCAGCGCCACGACGGCCGCGTTCCAGTGGCTTCGTAGCACGTGCTCCGAGTTCCAATGCGTGCTGGCTATGAAGATGCGTTCTTTGCGTGTGGGTGATGATGAGGATGATGGTGATGCCGTTCTTCTATCCTTGGGCGGTTCGCCTCCTCGTGACAACGACACTGCCAGATGGTACCGTATCCGCAGCAGATCGAGACCAATGGCAAAGAGAAAGAAAATAAAGAGCCTGAAAAGATGGGACCGTCTCGATCGAGAGCGAAAGTAAGCCATGGCGAGATCAACAAACAAGGGATATCGATGAATAGTCACTTAAAAAAAAAAGAGAGAGAGAAACGACAGGATAAAATATTATTTCACAAAGGAAAATCTCTGTCCTTCTAGGCCATAACTTGAAATGAAATGAACGGATTACATGTACATATCCAAAATAATGTACACGGGCATCAATAGATCGCTAGGAGGGACAGTCCGGTAAAAGGAGTGAGATTCATTTGTTGAGGAAAAGTACTGTATGTATGTACATGTGTACAGGGCATGGGCAATTCAAATATGCATTGAGAGAGTGTGAATTAGGCTGTGTTGACTGGTTTGTACTACTGAGTAGTAGTCTGGAAGACACCTAATGCGACTCCTTGGGCGTACTACGTAATATGTCTAATTCCCGTCTGTATTGTCACGTGACACAGGCCTGTACGGAGTATACTCTCTGTATCAAGAAAATACTGGACGTATTCCACGATTTTATATGCAGTCTTTTTTTCCTTTTCCTTGTTTTCTTGGTTGCTGTAGCAGCCTGTGAGACGATGTACTATACACATATGTAGACAGGCGTGTGCTGCAAGCACTGTACAGACACGGATATATGCAAATTACAGCTTCGACCGCCGCTCTTCCTTCTTGAGCATTTCCTCGGCGACCTTGCGGCGCTGGATCTTGCCCGTCGCCGTCTTGGGGATCTCTCTCAGAATCCAGATCTGCCACCATTAGCAACTGAACGCATATTACTGCGAAACATCGACGCACCTTCTTCGGAACTTTGAATTTGGCAACCTTCCCTGCCATCCACGTCTTCAGCTCTTCTTCAGAGCTGTCTCCCTTCAGAACGACCGCGACACCAATATCTTCCCCGTAGTGACCCGGGTCCGGAATTGCAAAGGACACCGCCTCCGCAATCTTCGGGTTGGTTGCCAGCACATTGTCGAGCTCAATCGGGCTGATTTTCTCTCCTCCCTTGTTGATGAGCTCCTTGATGCGGCCCGTGATATACACGTACCCGTCGGCGTCTTTCTTGCCTTGGTCGCCAGTACGGAAGAAACCGTCCTTGGTGAACGACGACTTGTTGGCAGACGGGTTGTTCAGGTATCCCTTGGTGACATTCTCACCACGGATGCATATCTCCCCCTCTTTGCCCTGCGGCACCTCGTTGCCGTTCTCGTCCAAGATTTTGACCTCGACACCTTGTCCGAATCCCACGCTTCCTGGGACTCGTTTCCCGGGTGGAAGCGGGTTGCTGGTCATCTGATGCGCTGCTTCCGTCATGGCATACGCCTCCAACACCGGGGCCTCGAACGTCTTTTCCAGATCATGGAAAGTCTTGGGAGACAGTGGCGAAGAACACGACCGGATGAAGCGGATCTTCGGCTTCGGATTCGGCAAGGGCGTCTTGAGCAAGATCTGGTGGATCGTGGGCACCGCCGTATACCAATTCGCTTTATGAGTGATGAAGTCCGTCCAGAACTCGGATGCAGAGAACTTGGGAGGCACGATTGCCGAACCTCCTGAATACAGCGGTGCAAGAAACGCGGCGAGCAGTCCGTGCACGTGGAACAATGGCATAACAAGGAGGGTTCGGTCCTCGGGCGACAATTGGTAAGTGGCCTGGATGTTCTCTGCAAGCATTGTATGAGATAGAGCCCCGAACGAAATCCTTTTTGGTACTCATCACTCACTCATAGTCCGCGTCAAGTTTCGGTGGGTGAGCGGGACCTTTCCACATCTTCACGTCAATAGATTCTCTCAGTCAGGTTTCATGGCACATGTCCTTACAGCTTTTGGTCTACCAGTCGTGCCACTGGTGTGTAGCACAAGGGCAATGTCATCAGGCTGTGCCGTTTCAACCTTCTGATTGCCCTTTCCTGCCAGCTTTCCCAGCTCTTTCACATCCAGTACGATTTCCTTTCCGTCCCAGTAGCACTCAGCAATCGCGGCCTTGTACTTTCGAGCAGCCCTCACAGCGGGTCCGTCCTTCTCGAAAAAGCCTCTGGGCACCACAGTCAAGGCAGAACTCAGGTCATCTATATAGAACTCGAATTCTTCCTGTTTGTAGGCCGGATTAAGCGGCGCGGCAATGGCCCGCTGCCAGGTGGCAGCCAGGAAAGAAACTATAAACTCATATGAATTAGGGAGAGCAATTGAGACCGCATCCCCAGGACGAATGCCCAGCTTTGCCAGCTTCTTCTGGAAACTAGCCACTTCGGCATTCAGTTGCTGATAAGATATCGTCAGCGGAGAGGGTTTCTGGGGGATGATGATGGCGGTCGCAGCCCCATCCTTAGCAAAAGAATTCGCCAACGTAGCCATTTTTTTCCACTATGACGGTGACAATGGAGTAGAATTACGGAGGAGAGTCTTCATGACTGCCATCCCTGAGGTGCTGACGTCGCTGCGGAGTAAATCATCGGCAATTCGGCGGTCCCGACTTCGGACTCCCCGCACGAATATCAAACGGAAGCGGTTTGCAGGCAGAACAAACCAAACAAACACGCCAAGCTTTCAGTATCGGCGGCTCTGAAGGCGAGACGAGCTATCAAGACAGGTATTACTTTCATCTTTCAGATCAGACAAGCGCTACAAGGACTATTCCTGGAGAATACTCGACTGTTTCTCTGTTTTATGAACTGATAATATTTGTTACTTTTCTTTTCTTTTCTTCTTCTCCTTTCAGCATGGCCCCGGAGCCTGCGTCGACCAAGAGCGGAGGGCTCTCGCTGTATGCGAACCTCTTGGAGCAGTCCTCAGAAAACTCCTCGACGATATCTCGGGCACCGGTCGTCTTTAAGCAGAGCTCTGAAGGCGATTCTCAGCCAGACGATGCCGCTGCGGAGAAGCAGCAGATAAGTGCCGGTAGCCTATTACCCTCCTCCATGCTTCTTCACACTACTTTTCCGATTTGATTGCTCACTTGTGCGTCGGCGCGTCCTGTTTCTGAAATTTAGCCTCTCTACGGTTTCAGCCTGTGAAGAGACCACAGTTGTCTGCTCAGAAGCCGAAACAGAAGCCCACGTTTCCCAAGCCAGGCTTGCCTGGCGCCGCCGCGGGGACTGCCGCTAATAATACGGCTGCACAGCCCCCTGTGAAAACGACACTTGCAGACTGGGCTTCAACGCCCGACGACGATGATGTCAACGGATTCTATGCTGGGGAGAAACGGCAGCGTGGTGGGCGAAAGAAGCGGAAGAAGAATCGTGATGCGCAAGTCGCTGTGACGAACTGGGATGACATTTACGACCCTTCCCGCCCGAACAATTACGAAGAATACAAGCATAGCGAGGAGAAGATTCGTGAAGTCAGGGAGTGGAAGGACCGTCTGTATGCACACCGCATGGCCAGACGACGCAGCAGTGATCTCGACAGCGACGAAGAGTACTCTCGGCCGATGAACCGTATGTCTAGACTGCCGCGTGGAAAGAAGGGATTACTGAACCGTATTGCAGGGCAATTTGCTCCTCCACCCTACAACTTTGCACCACCTAAGAACCTCAACGATATGCCGACGGAACCACCGCCTCCCCCTCCTGCAGACGACGAGGTTGAAATGGCCGAGGACGATTACGAACCACCACCTCCTCCGGCGTCTGTTCCTGACGACGCAAGTGGCGAGGACGCGTACGCCAGACGACTTCGGATGACCCAAAATCAGGGCCAGATGCCGATGGCGGATCATCCCCCACCACCACCACCACCCCCGCCTGAGGCTCCTCCGGTCCCTCCTTTGTCTGCATTCCAACCTCCTTCTGCAACCATATCGCGCGCCCCGGTCCGATATACCCTACCACCTCCTCCTGAGGACATTCCAGCGACTGAAGAAGAGCTGGAAGCAGTATTTGCAAGCGAGAAACCTGTCGACAAGGAAGATGGGGACGCTCCTCGCTCTCTTCGCCCTGGGCAGAAAGGGTTTGCAGAACGTTTGATGGCCAAGTATGGCTGGACGAAAGGATCTGGACTGGGTGCCAGTGGGTCTGGAATCGTCAAGCCACTTGAAGTCAAGGTTGAGAAACAGAAGAAGAGACCCGACTCAGAGGGCGGAGGATTTGTTACCCCTGCAGGCAGAGGTAAAATCATCGGCGGTGAGAGGAAGTCGGAAGAGGAAGGGAAGTTTGGACCCATGAGCGAAGTAATCGTGCTTCATGGGATGCTGGATGGGATGGACTTGGATGCTGAATTAGACAGTGGTCAAGATGGGGGCTTAATACAGGAAATAGGGGAGGAGTGCAGCGAGAAGGTAAGAGCAGTCGTAAAATCCAGTACTGCATGTTTTCAGATCATTTACTGACTCAAACAAGTATGGACGTGTTGAACGAGTCTTCATCCATCGGGAAAGCACTGGTCCCGTGCCTGTCTTTGTCAAGTTCACCACTCAGCTGTCAGCCTTACGTGTAAGTAATTATCCTCTATTTCTGTCTGTTTTACTTAGGAAGTCTGACATTCATCTCTGTTCTAGGCTGTTAATGCTTTGGAAGGCCGTGTATTCAATGGCAACACGATCAAGGCCCGATTTTTCGATAGCGAGAAATTTGAAAAGGGCATTTATGAGTGATGAAATGACTTGTATTATAAATCTGGGAGATGATAATGAAAGCGGCAACTCTAATTTCTCACTCTTCTGGTCGAGTGATTTGGTGTTGATCCTCAGAACCTTTTCAGCCCAGACACCATGCCACTTAGCTGCGCGTCCAAGCGAAAGTTGCCCTGGTTCCCTCTGCGATCTAGCAAGCGATGCAATTCCGAGTGCTGAAGTCGTGATGCACTGATCTAGCTATCGTAGCTGGCGGTACTACTGCCGGAACTGCTTGTTGACTCATTGTCGCTGGGCAACTTCGTCTCCTCTGCTTGTCGATCCGGCGACGGTGACTCTTCAACATTGCTTCGTGTCACGCTGACCTCTGTTTTCTCTGGTTCGAATTCAAATACATCCGACGAATGCGAACGGGACCTGGCATACTCAGCTTCCACTTCATATTCCGCGGTGGCCTCTTCCTCGTCCCAGAGTGCCATGCGACTTGCACAAGCGACACACCAACCTACCAGCGGAGTGATGACTGTTGTGCGGTCCTTCTTGTCGCAGCATCTTCCAAGCGCAAACGACATCATACAGCGTTCCACGTACCTGTGGTCACAGAAGGACATGTAAGGGACCACGAATTTGCACATCGTTTGCTTCAGTCGCCTATCTATCCCTTAGCATCCTGGAATATTGGCTTGGGATCCAATTCTTGGGGTGAAGATGGATGGAAACTCAGGCTTAGCTTGCTGTCCAATTCCCTTCCCGGCATTCACTGATGCTGATCTGTGTGCCGAAGTCGCTTCGCTCGATGGCTTCGTATTCCCTGTCAGAAGATATTAAAGATACTAAAAAGCGAGAGATGAATTTGCGCAAAGACGCCTTAGCGAGAGAGAATAAATAGAAGATTGGTATAGTCTGGTCTCTGATTTCTCTTCTGTCTAGGAAGAGAGGACGCTGCTTATATACACCTCATCTCAACAATGAAGATGATTCAAGAGCAATTACACAGTCCTTCAAAGAAGTCATTCATTAGGAATAGCTGCTATTTTGAAGGCTACAGTTCTATACATAGATGTGAAATGGTGATCAACAAAGGCCTTAGTTGTTTGCCTCATTGTCTTCATAAAGGAAGAAACAAGACAAATCAACGGGTTGCAACAAAGACCGCACTGCTTTGATTATTTGAACGGGACGTTCCTGTTGTTTTAGTTCAACTTGTCGGGCCTTTGACAAACGGGTCATGTGACCGGCCTGGTTCTAATAATGATGCAGCCGCCGCAGAGCTGTGGGGTACTTTATCGGGTTATCCATGCTATGACTGCTGACAAGACTTCCATCACCTTCTTAGGAATAATGAAGATTCACTTATAGCCACCCTTTTGTGTCACCCGGCTTCGACACCCCTTTTCTCTCTCCCCTATCGCTTGTACCCTCAACTGCCGTTTCTTCGTCTCTTTCTATCTGCGCTCAAACCCCATCAGCTACGCATTTACTTGCGAGGCGACTGCGCCAGATCTAGCTAAAGACCGTTGTATCTTCCTCAACTTCGGGCCAAATGTCTCTCTGCCAGAACCGCTTAATAGAAGAACGGTATGTTGGAAATCCAAGCCAGCTGATATTCCCAATCCTCCAGGGTCGCTTGAACCGAACCTCCAATCGCTGACGCCATTATGTCCCGATCTCGCAGAAAACAATGGCGCAAAGATCACCCCTTCGGCTTTTACGCTAAGCCTTACCGCACGCCGGAAGGAGTGCTGGATATGAAGAGGTGGGAATGCGGCATTCCGGGAAAGCCCAAGACGTTATGGGAGGGAGGCCTCTTCAAGTTGGATATGATCTTCCCTGATGGTGAGTAGACTTGCGGCTTACGAGTCAATGAAAGGATGTGAAAGAGGACGACGCTGACCTGTATGATTTAGAATATCCGACTAAGCCCCCCAAATGTACGTCTACCTGTCGCACACATTTCTCATAATTCATATGGATCGCCGCAGGCGTTACTGAAGTGGCGCGCCGCATGATCTTGCATCTTGCAGAGGAATTTAAATCCAGTTTGTGCATTGAATGCTTGCTAACCAGGACTTCTACGGACAGGCAAATTCGTCCCTCCGCTTTTCCATCCCAACGTCTATCCGTCGGGCACGGTATGCCTTTCTATCTTGAATGAGGAGGAGGCGTGGAAACCGGCGATCACAATCAAGCAGATCCTTTTGGGAATCCAGGATCTTCTGGATGACCCTAACCCGGAGTCTCCTGCTCAGGCGGAAGCATACAACCTGTACAAGAAAGACCGTGCTGCCTATGAGAAGAAAGTGCGACAGGTTGTGAAGGAGAATCCGGCACCTTAGATTTTGTTCTTCATTTTTTTCCCAGTTTGTGCTAGGTTTTTCTTTTTTTATCATCTTCCTCCAGGCTCAGGCGATATGGTGTTTTCTTCCGGCGGGAAAGGTGTTTTGAGCGGGGGGCTTTGGTTTGTGTTATTTTCTTGCCGGTTGTGCCTTGGTTTTTGAAAATGGAGCATTGCGCAGGGAAATGGAATTACGAAAATATTATTCTCGGGTGCTGTTTCCTTGAGGGTACACGGGCTTAACTGGTAGTAGACATACGGGACTGGCATCTGCAGGTGTTCGACACGACAAGATGACGAACTCCTGCGTGTCATCATGTCGGTTCCTGAGAGGGCAGATAAACCACAATTGCCCTCCACTGTAGAATGGTATCCAGGTCCTTGTTGTGATTTGTTCCTCACCTCTCTCTTTTTTTTCGCCCTTCTCATCTCGAGCATCTCGCCTGCGCTATGAATACGTAGACTAGCCTAGGAAAGCTCGCACGGCTGATTATAGTTCATTCTGGCATAGAGCATGATGCATTTACCTCGTAAGTAGAGAAGGTGCACAATAATAATGCTAATGTCTTGATTTCGAAGACACTGCGGGCTGAATTGATCCGACCACCCAAATGATCCTTCCCCGCATTCGGTGTGCGAGATTCCGCGGCTGCACACCGAGACGTCTTCCTCGACTGAGGACCCTTGTAATTGATTTCGGTATTGTGGATCTTCGAACTTTCCATTCCAAAAACGTCCAGACTGGAATGTTGACGCTCTTCTTTCCGACTAAACAGTAATAATGGATTTCATTGCCTCAGCTGGTGTCTTGTAAGATGGCGGAATTTCTTTTGGTGTGATCTTGCTGGCGTGGGTGTGGAAAGGGGCAAATCTCCCTCCAGGTTAGGGTACTGCTAAGACGATTAATTTACTCCGTCCTGCAGGACGAAATCGGAGCAAATGACAGGCTGACGTGCGGCGCGGTTCACTATCAAGTTTATCTTATCGGGTGAGTCAAGCATGACCCAAGTCCGACTTCGCCGCCGGCCTTCCTAAATGGATTGTGAATCGCCCACCGGGCGCCCGCAAAGCCAGTGAACTGCTAATATTTCAAAAATCCCCCTCCTGGTTTGCT